GGCCCACTTGTATAGGTTCAGTTTAAACCACAAGTCTTAGTTAAACTTTGGTTTAACGAATAAAGTTCGTTGTATAGGTGTTTGTGACTGCCATTCGGAGTTTAACTGTCAACTGATGGATGGAGGGGCAGTTAAAAATGGAAAAAACCAATGGTCCAGGATAGCCTAACATAAATTGACGTGTTTTTGGATTTTTCCTAAATACCAGTATTACAAAAGTTATGAAAGGTGGATACTTTTATCTGAAAAGCACTGTATATCCTTTTCATTTTTGTTACGTTATTAATTTTTTTCTTATTTTTTATCGATAAATGTCGAATTAAATAAACCCTATACAAAATATCATATCAACCCACCTGTCTTGGCATCGCAGTGCACTGAAATAAGTTCCAAACTCAGTGGTATCTACACATCTAGAGCACGAACACCAGAAGAATTTGGACTCTCGGAGATGGTGTCTTCTGCTGGGCGTACCCCAAAGAGGATCAGTATAGCATATACTGAGATTGTCTCCTTTCTTAATGTGACGACCAGCTTTTATCAGAACGCCTCCTTTGTTGGTGAAGCTTTTCGAACAATTGGCACTGCAGTTGTGTTCAAGAAGAGATGTGTTTTCGTATATTGCAATGTGGGGTGGTTCTGTAAGTGGTACTTCATGGGAGTTTACCTGATGAATTGAATCATAATTTGATTGAGCTGACAAATTGTTAAGCGTAACAAATAAATATTTCAATTATTAAGGTGTTTCGAAAGTTTCATGCATTTCAATGTCATGTGTTTCCGTTGCTCCACATCTAAATAACTATTGATACTACTGTATGGTGGTGTATAATGATCGATAGGCCGACAGATACCGAAGAATTAACCAGGCATTTGGCAATGACAGTGCTACGGAGGGCCCTGTTCGATGTTGCCCTGGGTTTATATGTAACACAGTCTAGCCGAAATTTATCATGAAGATAATAGTTCATTCAATTCGGTAATTTTCTAGAACCAACTACAGAAATCTAGAAAGTACCGTTACCGATATAAGCACGACTTCCCATCCAAAGAGGGCAGTTCAGAAAGTAAATCGAGCGGCTAAACAAGAAATTCATATAGTGGAAATAAATTGAGTGTTAGTTGTTAGTGTTGTTAATAAATTAGTTTGTGATTAATGAAATATTGTTGGAAATTAATTTGTTTAAGACAGTTAAGTCATTAATTTGTCACAATATATTTATGAGATATATGAGATAGAGATCGATGAAGGGAGCAGAGCCCATAAGTTTTCTTCGGTTTCTGATTCTGAACAAGGTGTCCAGAACTTCATTGACAGAATAGAACAGTGTCAATAAAAGACTCACTTGAAAGTCGCAGAGATCTTATTGTTGTACGTAAAAGATTTTCCAATGCATGGTGTCGTCGGGTTATATAAAAGCCTGACCTTTAACTTTCTTGGATCAAGTAGTCGTTTGATGAATATAGACGTTGCTGATACTCGAAATATGGGTCTGGTTCGAGGTGCCAGTTAGGGGAGGCCAACCGGTCGATCGCGACCATTAGTCCACTCGACCTTGGCAAGGCAAAAAATATAAATGAATAGACCAGACTGCGCAACGTAATTTAGACTGGCATTGTGATTTAGCTTTCTTGGCCGATTTTACTGGAAAACTGAATACATTAATTCTGAATCTACAAGGCAAGAATAAAACATTAACAGTAATGATGAGTTCTATTGCAGCATTTCAAAGTCAAACAGCGTCTATGATAGTTGACATAGAGAAGACAAAATTTGAACAATTTGGATCATGTGTAATATAGTTAGTTTTCTGCCCCTCGTATATCACGGCGAGTGTCGAGCCGGGAGAAGGGGTCATGGTAAAACGGGGAGTCGGAATGTACAGAATATATTGGGGCTTTGGAGTAA